CATTTCTCTTGCAGTATTCGGTCCTGGCCAGTCATCTGTCTACCTCTGCAGTAGAAAGGAGCTGTGCACCAGTTACTGTCTTATACTGGTTGCTCTGTGGACCACCTGAGTGTCAGATTTTGGGTCATACCTGTACCACCAGCCCCCTAACCCCACAGCAAAGCCAGAAGCTGTTGCTGCTGCACATACCTTCCTTCAGCAAGGCTGGCGACTCCTCCACTATGGCTTCGCCTTCTCCCACCTGGGTCCGCGCGCGCAGGAAGAAGCGATAGCGCGAGACGGCGTCTGTCCTCTGCAGGGTGAACCTTGTCTGATTGGGAGAGAAGTTCTCTACCAGGGTTCGGCCTGTTTTGGATCCGTTAACTGGGGAGGAAAGGCAGGTCATGGTGGCTTCAGCCTTGTTTCAGAAAGATGCTGTGCTATCTCTACCTCGTCACCTCGCCCCCAGAACCGACCCGCAGTCGGTGCGGGGCCACAGCTGCTCAGAGCTATAGCTGCTGTTAAATGCACTTCATGACTTCCCTGGCTGGGGGACCTGCTAGCAGGGGACATTCAGGGATCTATAGGTGGTCGAGGAAAGGCGCAGCACCAGTGCCAGGGGCTCGGAGAAGGCTGCCCTGCCCCAGGCATCGTGCTGGGCTCTGCAGAGCGTGCTGTGCTCCGAGCAGCATCTCTGATCCAGCCAGGAGCTTGTGTTTGAGTGAGTACATAAACTGCTCGGACTGCACTTAAAGGTCTTTCTAAATCAGAGATCAAACTTATTTCCCTCCAATGGTCGAGTCTGGAGAACTGCTGAGCACCCACCACCCTCCCTGCTTAAGTGCGGCTGCCGAGCACAGCCCCAGGACCCCCCTCCAACACCAGCATGTCTCATCTTGTGATGAAAGGCTCCAGCTCCTCACGGAGAGCTTTCTGCGCTAGGTGAGGAGGTGATTAGCAGCAAGGAAAATGTTTACTGACTTAATTATTATTGCTAAGAAGAGAATATGTGGAACGTACAGGTTTGATATCTAAGGTTGTATCCTGTGAGGACTCCATTGGGATGCTCCGGGTGATCCCACTCCAGATTGATGCTTTCCAGATTTGGCTGTCGGATTCTTAAATACCTGGGGGAGCTGGGCACTTGGGAGGAGGATGGGACCAGGAAGGAGAGGGAAAGAAGAAAAAACATACAAGATAACATACCTTACAATACTGTATACATCACAGGCTGACTGATACACTCAAGGCACTCATAAATACACATGCATGCAGGTAAAACACACACCAAAAGCAACTGAACGAGAATCTGTGCCAGAAACCATGCGCCAGCCCAGGGTTTTCAGCAGCGTGTGTGCAGGGAGCAGAAACCAGAGCAGCTCTGCGTGCAGCCCCAGCCCCGGCAGCACCGCTGGGTACCGCCGCCCTCCGGCACAGAGCTCGGCACGGCACCCACAAACGATGCCACAGCCGCGAAGAGGAGCTGTGACACAGTTCAAGTCCCACTTCTGTATGTTGTACGTGTACTTTACTGGTCTGGTTTACAGCCCCCACCCAGCCCAACATTTACATCTCATCCTTTAACTGTTGGAATGGTGACAAATAGTACAGCAGCTTCTCTTATTGCAAAGCAGCTTTGTGTTACTAATGTCTAGAGATCTGCAACAGGGACTTGGTGCGCGTGTACAGTGGTCCTTACCCTGAGAAGTGGCTGCTTTTATGACTGCTTATTCAAGGCTACTAAAGGAAGGAAAGCGTTATACATTCTTGAATTAAGTTATTCTCCCGGTTTACTCATAATTGCGGTGTCTTAATTGGGGAAAGAACTTGCCTCTCTAATCTGAGAAATTAGTGATTTTCCTTTTTTTTAAACAGAAGTTTTGCAGAATAACATTCAGTCTCCTAAACGTCAATATATAGCCAATAAAGTAGTTTAGTGATAGAGGAGAAAAAAAAAAAAAATTCAAAACTTCCCTTAGGACAAGAGTATAATCCGCTATAATTGCTTCAATCAATGCCACCCACATATACATATAGGTACCCCAAATGCATATGGGTACCCCAAATGCTCCGTGCCGCTAGCACACGGGTAAGCTGCTCAGTCAAAATGGACCTGACTGCAAAACCGCCCTACTGGAACACAGTCCTTTCTTTTTGAACGAGCTTAATTACGGCTGATCAATTGAAAATCCTTAGAAAATGGTGACATCATCCAAGAAAAGGTTAAGGACGGAAGAGGGAGGACTGAGAGATGCTGTTCTTGTGCC